TTTTCTTAATTCCTCAGTTAATAATGATCGAATTTTTCCATAAGATCACACAAAGGTAGAGCCGGACGGATAGTTTAAAATGCCCTTTGCTGCTTGCCTCTATCTTGAGCCGTTTAGTAGTTTTTCACATTTAAAAATAAGTCAAATACCTTGTCGCGTTTCTGCTATCCTCATACCAAAATTTTGTAGACAAAATTGGATCTTTTCGAATTCGGAACTTTGTATCAGGATAATAGAAACGCGAGGAGATATCGAAAATTTTTATTTTGGCCATAACTTTTTTAATATTGCTGTTAGAAAAAAACTGAGTGTATTTTTAAAATCTACATGTGACCCTCTATCCGTATGCAAATTTAAACAATTTTTTAGTTTTTCAATAAAATCGAAAGGGTATAGCCTTCCAAATTTTTTGACAAAAATTTTTTTTGTCTCCGATCTTGATGAAAATTGGGGTACATATAAAGGAAAGCACGAGCAATTAAGGGGTGAACTCAGTTGCTCCCCAGCTATAAGGGTTAACTTTTTTTTCTTAATTCCTCAGTTAATAATGATCGAATTTTTCCATAAGATCACACAAAGGTAGAGCCGGACGGATAGTTTAAAATGCCCTTTGCTGCTTGCCTCTATCTTGAGCCGTTTAGTAGTTTTTCACATTTAAAAATAAGTCAAATACCTTGTCGCGTTTCTGCTATCCTCATACCAAAACTTTGTAGACAAAATTGGATCTTTTCGAATTCGGAACTTTGTATCAGGATAATAGAAACGCGAGGAGATATCGAAAATTTTTATTTTGGCCATAACTTTTTTAATATTGCTGTTAGAAAAAAACTGAGTGTATTTTTAAAATCTACATGTGACCCTCTATCCGTATGCAATTTTAAACAATTTTTTAGTTTTTCAATAAAATCGAAAGGGTATAGCCTTTCAAATTTTTTGACAAAAAATTTTTTTGTCTCCGATCTTGATGAAAATTGGGGTACATATAAAGGAAAGCACGAGCAATTAAGGGGTGAACTCAGTTGCTCCCCAGCTGTAAGGGTTAACTTTTTTTTCTTAATTCCTCAGTTAATAATGATCGAATTTTTCCATAAAATCACACAAAGGTAGAGCCGGACGGATAGTTTAAAATGCCCTTTGCTGCTTGCCTCTATCTTGAGCCGTTTAGTAGTTTTTCACATTTAAAAATAAGTCAAATACCTTGTCGCGTTTCTGCTATCCTCATACCAAAATTTTGTAGACAAAATTGGATCTTTTCGAATTCGGAACTTTGTATCAGGATAATAGAAACGCGAGGAGATATCGAAAATTTTTATTTTGGCCATAACTTTTTTAATATTGCTGTTAGAAAAAAACTGAGTGTATTTTTAAAATCTACATGTGACCCTCTATCCGTATGCAAATTTAAACAATTTTTTAGTTTTTCAATAAAATCGAAAGGGTATAGCCTTCCAAATTTTTTGACAAAAATTTTTTTTGTCTCCGATCTTGATGAAAATTGGGGTACATATAAAGGAAAGCACGAGCAATTAAGGGGTGAACTCAGTTGCTCCCCAGCTATAAGGGTTAACTTTTTTTTCTTAATTCCTCAGTTAATAATGATCGAATTTTTCCATAAAATCACACAAAGGTAGAGCCGGACGGATAGTTTAAAATGCCCTTTGCTGCTTGCCTCTATCTTGAGCCGTTTAGTAGTTTTTCACATTTAAAAATAAGTCAAATACCTTGTCGCGTTTCTGCTATCCTCATACCAAAATTTTGTAGACAAAATTGGATCTTTTCGAATTCGGAACTTTGTATCAGGATAATAGAAACGCGAGGAGATATCGAAAATTTTTATTTTGGCCATAACTTTTTTAATATTGCTGTTAGAAAAAAACTGAGTGTATTTTTAAAATCTACATGTGACCCTCTATCCGTATGCAATTTTAAACAATTTTTTAGTTTTTCAATAAAATCGAAAGGGTATAGCCTTTCAAATTTTTTGACAAAAAATTTTTTTGTCTCCGATCTTGATGAAAATTGGGGGTACATATAAAGGAAAGCACGAGCAATTAAGGGGTGAACTCAGTTGCTCCCCAGCTGTAAGGGTTAACTTTTTTTTCTTAATTCCTCAGTTAATAATGATCGAATTTTTCCATAAAATCACACAAAGGTAGAGCCGGACGGATAGTTTAAAATGCCCTTTGCTGCTTGCCTCTATCTTGAGCCGTTTAGTAGTTTTTCACATTTAAAAATAAGTCAAATACCTTGTCGCGTTTCTGCTATCCTCATACCAAAATTTTGTAGACAAAATTGGATCTTTTCGAATTCGGAACTTTGTATCAGGATAATAGAAACGCGAGGAGATATCGAAAATTTTTATTTTGGCCATAACTTTTTTAATATTGCTGTTAGAAAAAAACTGAGTGTATTTTTAAAATCTACATGTGACCCTCTATCCGTATGCAAATTTAAACAATTTTTTAGTTTTTCAATAAAATCGAAAGGGTATAGCCTTCCAAATTTTTTGACAAAAATTTTTTTTGTCTCCGATCTTGATGAAAATTGGGGTACATATAAAGGAAAGCACGAGCAATTAAGGGGTGAACTCAGTTGCTCCCCAGCTATAAGGGTTAACTTTTTTTTCTTAATTCCTCAGTTAATAATGATCGAATTTTTCCATAAGATCACACAAAGGTAGAGCCGGACGGATAGTTTAAAATGCCCTTTGCTGCTTGCCTCTATCTTGAGCCGTTTAGTAGTTTTTCACATTTAAAAATAAGTCAAATACCTTGTCGCGTTTCTGCTATCCTCATACCAAAATTTTGTAGACAAAATTGGAACTTTTCGAATTCGGAACTTTGTATCAGGATAATAGAAACGCGAGGAGATATCGAAAATTTTTATTTTGGCCATAACTTTTTTAATATTGCTGTTAGAAAAAAACTGAGTGTATTTTTAAAATCTACATGTGACCCTCTATCCGTATGCAAATTTAAACAATTTTTTAGTTTTTCAATAAAATCGAAAGGGTATAGCCTTCCAAATTTTTTGACAAAAATTTTTTTTGTCTCCGATCTTGATGAAAATTGGGGTACATATAAAGGAAAGCACGAGCAATTAAGGGGTGAACTCAGTTGCTCCCCAGCTATAAGGGTTAACTTTTTTTTCTTAATTCCTCAGTTAATAATGATCGAATTTTTCCATAAGATCACACAAAGGTAGAGCCGGACGGATAGTTTAAAATGCCCTTTGCTGCTTGCCTCTATCTTGAGCCGTTTAGTAGTTTTTCACATTTAAAAATAAGTCAAATACCTTGTCGCGTTTCTGCTATCCTCATACCAAAACTTTGTAGACAAAATTGGATCTTTTCGAATTCGGAACTTTGTATCAGGATAATAGAAACGCGAGGAGATATCGAAAATTTTTATTTTGGCCATAACTTTTTTAATATTGCTGTTAGAAAAAAACTGAGTGTATTTTTAAAATCTACATGTGACCCTCTATCCGTATGCAATTTTAAACAATTTTTTAGTTTTTCAATAAAATCGAAAGGGTATAGCCTTCCAAATTTTTTGACAAAAAATTTTTTTGTCTCCGATCTTGATGAAAATTGGGGTACATATAAAGGAAAGCACGAGCAATTAAGGGGTGAACTCAGTTGCTCCCCAGCTATAAGGGTGAACTTTTTTTTCTTAATTCCTCAGTTAATAATGATCGAATTTTTCCATAAAATCACACAAAGGTAGAGCCGGACGGATAGTTTAAAATGCCCTTTGCTGCTTGCCTCTATCTTGAGCCGTTTAGTAGTTTTTCACATTTAAAAATAAGTCAAATACCTTGTCGCGTTTCTGCTATCCTCATACCAAAATTTTGTAGACAAAATTGGATCTTTTCGAATTCGGAACTTTGTATCAGGATAATAGAAACGCGAGGAGATATCGAAAATTTTTATTTTGGCCATAACTTTTTTAATATTGCTGTTAGAAAAAAACTGAGTGTATTTTTAAAATCTACATGTGACCCTCTATCCGTATGCAATTTTAAACAATTTTTTAGTTTTTCAATAAAATCGAAAGGTAAACTGTATAACAGATTACGACGTGCTCTTCGAGAACGTTGTTAACAATAATATATGAATACACCATGCTGTTAACAACTTCCTTGAAGAGCACGTTGCAATCTGTTATACAGTTTACATATAACACATATACTATAAAGACGTGCTTTTCGAGCACGTCGCATTCTATTATACAGTGTGTTCCAGCAATGCATTATACAACGTACACTGTATAATAGATTGCAACGTGCTATTCGAGCACGTCGTTAACAACAAAGTGTATTCATATGCTATTGTTAACGACGTGCTCGAAGAGTGTGTTCCAGCAATTTATTATACAATGTAAACTGTATAATAGATTACGACGTGCTCTTCGAAAACGTCGTTAACAATAATATATGAATACACCATGCTGTTAACAACGTGCTTGAAGAGCACGTTGCAATCTGTTATACAATTTACATTGAATAATAGATTGCGACGTGCTCTTCGAGCACGTCGTGAACAACAAAGTATGTTCATATGCTATAACGACGTGCTCGAAGAGCACGTCGCATTCTATTATACAGTGTGTTCCAGCAATTCATTATACGCGGGCTAAAAAAAGGTCTACACCTTTCTCCGAAGTACAATTGTGTATTCTATTTTTCTGCTGGTTAAAAAGTCCTCACTTCTCCGAAATGATGTGTTCCTTGTTAGTGTTCTTTTAATTTGCCACTGAGCAACTTTGGGCAAAATATATGTTCATTTTAAATGTATATTTGCCCAGGTGGATTATTTCCGAGGGGGGGCTGACCCACAAGCCCACCCGTAGTCGGTACCTATGCCACGGCCCAAGAACAAATCAATTTTACTTAACATTGATTTTATTAATTACTCTCCTTTGGGTTATATGAATCTCATTACACGTTCGTGTAAAGTATGTTGCCTATGTAGCTACTGTCGACATTGCCAAACTGAATACAAATTCACTGTTTAACTCGAATCATCTCGATCAATAAATACAATTTGATTTTTAAAACTGTCGGTATTTTAACCGGTTACAGTTTTTTAGAATAAAGAAAAATATTGTAACTATATAAAGGCACAATCTCTTAAACCTGTTTGAAAGTATATTTCGAAGTAGTCCTTCAGAAAAATGTATATTTACATAATAGTGGCAAGTGGCAACATTGTAGGGATTTGGACAACAATGACAGTGACAACTGGTTCTAAAGAACAAGGTAACATTTATTGAAACCTCATTTCCTGATTTAATTTGTATTCCTAAAATAAAATACAAAGGATATAGGAAAGATAACGAACTTAATGACATGTAAAATTATGTTTTAATGTAGATTACATAATGTATATAGGTAGGTGGTACATTAAATTTGTTGTCAATGAATTAATACCTATTTGTTTGAATTTGTAGTATGTATACAGTTAATCCAATAGAATGATTTACATTTATCATAAAATATAATTTCCATAAATAATATGACTATTGAAATGTCTTATCAATATTTATGTAGATGTTTATTTGATGACTCAATCATTGAAATTATGATAAGTACAGTACACAACAGTTGGGATTTGGGAATCCATTAGTTTAGAACATTTGTGAAATACCTACCTATTCATTGCATTTTATTTGTTTATTGGTAAGTTTTATGAAATATGATTAAGTTTATCATAAAATTGTTTTTAAATTAGAATATGTTTTATTATACAGGTGTTAAATCTATAAATAATGGATTTCTTGTGGTAACAAAATTTCCTTGAAGCAGTAAAATTAGTAGAGTAATTACCTAATTAATTAATAAACAAACCTGTTCTGATGAGACCTGGGTTTTTACAGAATGATTCTTAATACTAATGTTTACACAATAATTGTAATTATTTGCACAGTGATTTTTTTAACATAGAAAATAATAATTATTAAATTTTGTTTAGTCAACAATTGATTCCAAAAAGTACTAAAATAAATAAATAAGGATTAAATCTACTTAACCTAGTAGCTTTGTGTATCTGCATTATTGATTTATAAATTATCTAACAAAAATATCCACCCTATACATCATAAATTATTTGATTAACATTGTAATTCCCAAGGTTATCATGTACATAATAAAGATAGAGATGAATCATTTAATAATCTCTCGATTGTATCTAACACTTAGGTAATTTGTATACATAAAGGGAAAGACCAGCTTTTTATGTTCATTGTATAGTAGAAGCTTGACAAAACTAGACAAATCTAACAGGTATTAAGAAAGTACTTATACTATATACACACAAAAACATAATAGTGTACCCTTTTTATATTTATAATTAGTTTCTTTTTTTAGAATGTTGAAATTTGCAATTTTATTATTAGCAGCTATCGCCATGGCCAGTGCATTGACCGATCAAGAAAAATTTAGTGAATTTAAGGTAACAGTCTTTTTTTATTTACTCAAAAATGTTTATTGGATATTTATATTTGTTCCGTGTTGAATTCATTCCCATGAAAAAATAAAAAGCACATTTGGCAACTCGTATCTTTTTGAAGTCTTTTTAAGGTATATTTATTTTATTACTTTTTAATGATAATTGAAGTGATTAATCACTTTTTTATTTCACAATTGAACAAATAATTATTCAGTTACTACACCAAACAGCCCATCAACCGAAGTCCTTCAGTCCAATGATAATCTTTATATTTGAATATTTCAAAAAGATATACTATGTGTCAAAAAAAAACGCATCGCCCACTAAAAGTGTATACTTTTTGAATACATTTTCTACATATTTATAAATAAAGAATTAATATAAATTAAAAATAAATGAAGTATTAATAAACCTACACGTTTATGGGAGTTATGCGTTTTTTGTCACATAATATATAAATGGCTGGATTTATCATTAATATATTATTATCTCCGTATTCTAGAAGTGGACTGCAAATACTTGTGTAAATTTTGATTGCTAATGATATTGATATTCCTTGAATATATTCTCAGAATACTAAAATGTTTACCTCTTGATTTTAAAAAGTTATTTATGGTTTTTATATTGTAAATTAAAGTTTAATTTTTTGTCCTAACAAGAAATATTTTTCGTTTTAGACCAAATTCAACAAAAACTACGGCACCCCTGAAGAGGAGCAACACCGTCTTGAGGTATTTTTGGAAAATTCCAAAAAAATTGACGCCCACAATGAAAAATTCGCTAAAGGAGAAGTCAGTTACAGCCAAGGCCTCAACCAGTTCAGTGACTTGACAGCTGAGGAGTGGAAGAACAGAAATCACGGTTTAAAAAATACCAACGCTAAAACTGTTGTTTGAAAAAAAAATCAGTTATAAAATGGTTTTTACACAATCATTTTGATGATTTGACATTTTTATTGCTATTATATGTTCGTGCATTTACAGTTTTAAAATAAAAATGTTGACTAAATTGAAAAATTATTTATTTTCTTAACCATTGATACAAAAAAAGTACCGTCTTACATTTATATAGTTATTTTTTTAAGTTTTAATCCATTTCACAAATTTAAAAAATCAATGTGTTGAAAACACCACAGTCGAGGAATAATAATTAACACTAAATGCTAATTAGTTCGAAATAATGCACTATATTCAAATTATTCATCAGGACTGGAACAAAATAATGTAATAATTCTAATAGGATTTATACATAGCACAATAATATATTAATTTTATTTTATGCTGCGGCGTTACGTCAACATTCATTTATTTCTACTAAATTTTAGGAAAGGAAATTCAGTATACCGAATTTCCAGAACAAAAATAGTATTAATTTAAATTAAAAATATTTAGAAAAAGTTTACATTACTTTGTATCCCCCGCTCCCTTTGTCAGGAAAAATAAGAAAAACTTGAACCTTCCCGCCCCCTAAACCTGTATACGTAATACTTGAACGCCCCCTAATCATATTTCAAATCATAATAATTATAATACACACAAAACTATCATGCAACCAATATTTATTCTGTACTTACATCATAATTAACAAGTAGTATTTAAAAGACAGAAAAAGTAAGTAAATAAAAGGCAAACAGGGATAATAATTAGAAGATTAAACGAACTTACCTTAAGTGAAGTTGAACCTTAATTATATTTTGATCTCCTCTCATAATAATCTTTGTGTAGTTGTTTACAATACAATGCAACAAGAATATTTAAAACGAAAATTAATAAAATTATTACATTTAATATTTTTAATATAATAATTTTGAGATTTCTATTCTATTGATAGAAATTATTATTAGAAATTGAGTATTATTTATATACGAGGGGTCTAGAACTAAAGGCGACAATCTCAATTTTTAAGAATGTTGGATAATTGTGAAAAACTGTTTTTAAGTTCCTGGGAAGGTTTAGGGTCGTTTTATTATTTTTTTTTATATTTATCGGTCTTGAGTATACTGACTTGCATAAATATTCGTCTTAATTATTTTAATAAGTAAGGAAAAATGGAGATTGCCGCTTTTGCTACTTACTCACTTTTTGATATTGCCATATGTTTGATTCTAAATCAGTGGCGGCTCGTGGGTTTAAATGTAGGTGACGCGTTGTAAATAAAAAACAAAAAAATTCGACTTTTTTATTGTTTGTACACAAGGTCGATTCTATCCTTTAAAATTGCAAAATCAAAAAATGGCTCTGATCGTACAAGTTCATTTAAGAGTGTCTTTTCAATTGAAATTTTTGGTAAATTGGTAAGTCGATCTTCTGTTATTGTATTTCGTAGATATGTTTTAAACAAGAAAAACTACGTTCGACCGAAACACTAGTGGATAGTTAAGACTAAGCAATATACCTTTGAAAATATGACGATTTTCAAATAGTTTTTCCAACAATTTATCGATGTCAATATTTGTAAAGTTTTCATCACTGTAAATAAACTGTAACTCATTTTTTAACCTTCGTAAGTCATTTAATTTACTAGGACACATTTAAACTAAATTATTTAGTGCTTCTGTAGGAAAGGTCTCCGATTATACAGAGAGATATGCTTTATTGTCGTAAAAAAATTTACAAAAATTTTATAGACAAAGCGTGTAACTTAAATACTAAACATATTATAAAAATAACTAAACAGCAGAAAAAACAAACAGACAAAATAGGAATAACAATTGCAATGGATATGCAATATCCGTCATTATAATTATTCTAATTTAATATTTAAATTTAAACTTTAATATTTAATTATTTAATTAATGCCATTGTATGTGGAACTCAAATGTCTAAGGTACGTTATAAAATTCTGCTACTGAGTAATATGGTCTTTCTAGAAGAAACGCTTTAGCCAGTCTTCGGAACTTATCGTATGTATTTATAGATTTTAATTGCATCGGAAGGTTATTATACAATTTTTTGGCATTGTAGGTAATGGAATGTTTTAATAGGTCAGAAGTGGGCATTGTTAAATAAACATCAGTCTCTAAATTTCTTGTAGGATATCTACGAGTCGGTCTTTCGGATAAATTTTGAATGTGCTTGCGAACTAAGCAGACGGATTCGAAAATAAATAGAGCAGGAAGGGTTAGAATTTTGAAATTTTTGAAGTAATTTTCGCAATGTGTCCTACTACTTAAACCAAATACATAGCGGATTGCTCTTTTTTGCAGTTTAAAAATAGATTCGAAAAGGTATAAGCTACAAGAACCCCAGAAAGGTAAACCATAGCGAAGGTGAGATTCGAATAAGGAAAAGTAGGTTATTAATGCAGTAGAAGGAGTCAGCTCTTTAGAAACCGATTTAATGGCAAAACATGCGGAGGATAATTTTTTTGCTAAGGTGAGCAGACCATTTTAGAGAATCGTCTATATAAAGACCTAAAAACTTGATTGAAGTCACCGTTTGGATCAGATTATTGTTTAAAGTTATAGGTTGTAAAGTACCTCTGTAAGACAATGCTACAGTTTTACTGGTGTTGAAACAAAGTCCATTCGAATCAGACCAGGACTTAATAGTCACTAGATCTTCACTTATGATAGATTGTAATGTCTGCATGTTAGAATTATTCCAGGTTACACTGGTGTCATCAGCAAATAAAGTAATTCTACCACTTATTCTTAAGTCTGTGATGTCGTTGATGAATAATAAAAACAAAATTGGACCTAATACTGATCCTTGAGGTACTCCACTGCTTATTGCTAGATTTGTAGAATCCTCACCATTCGCCCGCACCTGTTGATTTCTATTTTCTAGGTAAGTTTTAAACCATTGTAAAGGAGAACCCCGTATGCCATAAATTTGTAACTTATTAATTAAAATATCATGATTTACACAATAGAAGGCCTTTGCGAAGTCACAAAATACTGAAGCGGTGAAAAGTTTATCATTAAGTGATGTGTATATTTCATTAAGAACGGAAAACATTGCGTCGCTAGTGCATTTTTTAGGTAGAACGCCATACTGATGAGCTGTGAGGATGTTATGCTTGAAAAGAAAGGGCAAAAGACGGTTTTTCATTAGCCGTTCTACTATCTTCGATAAGGTAGGCAATAACGCGATAGGTCTATAGTTACAGGTTTTGGTTTTGTCGCCACCTTTATGAAGTGGGATTATTATAGCTGTTTTTAGACAGTTAGGAAAGAGACCAATTTCAAAGGATTCATTAATCAGTGAAGTTAAAATGTTGATTACTACATCCGGTATATTTAGAAATATTTTGGTGGACAGGCCATCAATTCCACAGGAAAATTTATTTTGGATGTTGTTTATGGTTTGCACTAGTTCATGCTTGTCTACTGGTCTTAGGAAGAAACTTTCAGTGATCATTTTAGTAGGTAGGAGGAAGGAGAGAGGATCCTGACTCGGAGCTATGTTAGATTTGATATTTTTACTTACATTTACGAAATAATTGTTTAGTTCATCTGGGCTAGGATTTACACTGTTTGAAGAACGGGTTTTATTCCTTAAGTCATTTATTATAGACCAGGTTTCTTTGGAGGAGTTTTTAGCTCTTGCGATGCGATTTTTGTAATAGTTTTTCTTAGCAGATTTGGTGATTTTCCGATACAATATTCTGTAGTTGTTGATATAGTTTAATATTAGGGGATTATTTGTGTACTTTTTAATATACAGAAAATTTGAAAGTGTCTATTAATGTTACGAACTAAAGTATCCTGAAAGCGAGTGTTGATTTGTTTTAAAATTGTGTCCAGGATTTCACGATACAGAATTTTATATTTTTGAACTGCTTGTCAAGACTTGTCTTATGCGCCCATCACGGTGCTCAGTGTTCTTAGGGAAACTGAATCAATTATATTTGCAAAAATAACTTCATTTCTTCTAGCGTTTAGTTGAGATACACAGTAATTTATATCTAAAGAACGTTTCTGCAATACAACAAAAAGTACATCGCTGATGGAAAAAATGGATAAAATAATGCAGGAATAGTTCATCTTTCATTGTGAATTTTCCACAAAAAAAATGAAATTTTGTAAAAATTCTTATATTTATACAAGTCGTCTCATTGCAGTAAAAATATACATTCAGTACAAATACTATATTTAAAAACAAAACAATAGTTATATGAGTATAAAATTATTTATAATTAATTTCATGACCTAATTACAGCTTTCACAGACATATTTATCACCTTGTAGCAACATCATTCTGAGAATTGTGAACCAAAACAAAAACATTCTATAAAAAAAAAACAACATATGGGCATCACAAATTACAAACTTATTAAGGACACAATTAGTACCAAGATTATTAGACAATATAAAAATATTAGTCCATTTGACCGATTTCAGAAATGTATAGTGTTTGTAGACTCAATCCAACACAGGCATTTGTACCGGGGTGCGTAATAATACCCTCACATTGCAAATTAGCACAAACCGTCTTGGTATAGCCACTGATGTGACACACTTAAGTTTTAAACATACAGTTGATGTAAAGTCCACAAATGAGCGATCAGAATTGTTGACGCGCCTGGCTTCTTTAGTTGATCTACCTTGTTCAGTAGCATGCACGGTCTGAAAATTTTTCTCAAAGCGTTTGTTAAACTTGTTTTTATTTTTAGGTGTTTCTGTTAAATTTTGATTTGTGTTGTCTCTACCAGATCATTTATAACGGAAATTAATACACAGTCAAGTATCGCCGATCTTTCTTGCAACTTATTTCAAATGATTTAGTCATGGAAAACCTTCAAAGGCGACAAACAAATAAACTGGTTTACCCAAGTCTGAAAACAATGTAAATGCTGTGCAATTACTGCAGAGGCTTGGTGGAAAGCAATTTCAGACAAATGAAGAGGTGATCTTGCGAAACTTTCGAAAGATTATTTTTTGGATGGTTTGAAAACATTTGAAAAACTCGCTGGGCTAAGCGTGTAGAGTTAAAAAAGATTATGTTGAAAAATAAAATATTTTTTTTACAGTAGTTCTTGGAAAATGTTATTAGAGATGCCGTTACATATA